ATCTTCACTGTCAAGTTTGGAGAGAACTGGGGAAGGAGAAGATGTTCCCTTCTTTTTTCTGTCTGAAGGTTATTTGCATTCGCTCTGATTGGCCGGTATTCGCGCCGATTTCGGAATCCAGGCTTCTATTATGTGGAGAAATAGGCTTGGCATCTACCTACAGATGTAGATATACAACATAGAGTCTCAATTCATGGACAAAGCTGTACCTTTTCTTCGTTTATATCCTGATCTCCATTGCATGGAAGAATGGAGGTGACAAGACCCCAATTTTAGGGGCCTTTTTCCCTTGGTAGCTTTCTTCGGGGAAGAGCTATCGCTACAGAGATATTCCATCGGAAATATCTCTTGTGGCATCGATGGAATCTCTATCAAAGATAGTGACGGCGTGACCGAACCGAGCGAGTATGCTGCCTTTGATGCTGAAAAAGACTGTCTTTTGTTTCGTGAATGGATCAACCGTCTATCGCCTGTGCTGAGCTCATTCAGCCCACCAACATTTTCCTCGACATACCAAGATCAAGGTACAAAAATCATGTTCTGTCTTTCTAAATCGATTCTAACGATACGGGGGCATGGTAAATAAGATAGTACCTACAAATAGTAGCTCACCAGATTCTATCACGTGTGACTGTGAAGGTAAAGGTGACTGGGGCACTTGCCATTTTGGAGATTAGAGCAAAATTCAATATAGGATAATCTTAGATCATTAGGCAGATCTATGTGTCGAGCAGCAGTGAAGCCGGCAGTTTGCACGACGCATAAAGGACCCGGAATGTCGCCGACTCTACAAAGCGTAAGAAGGGCTAAACTCTGTGCAATCTGGACGTATTTGATAGAATCAAGGAGGATATACTCTATCTAACTATCTAGACAGGAGAGGGTCCCAGACGTTAGCCGGCACATTATGTATATGCCAAATTCAATAACAAACTACCAACAAACGTTCTACTTATAGTAGGACGTTGCCTTATATCATCATATAAGATGTCATTATTGCCTCTTCCCTAAAAGGGAAAGAAAGGTACCATCAAATATCTTTTGGCCGCACCTATTTAGGGCTAAAAGCTTATTTTCGACTATGGCGAAATACGCCCTACCTAATTCAAAACTTCGTCTCAATCATGCCAGCCCTTTTCCTAGTTCTAACATCGTTCGGTTTTCTATTATTCGTTATGAGCACCAAGCTCAACATTCTCCCACCTTTGATGAAGAAGGGCACAGTTGAGTGCAAAATCACCAAGCACCGTGAACAAAGACACAGCTACCGAGACTCAGGCAAGCAAGATGCAACCCTCCAAAAAACTTCCGACTTATGAAGAGATCGCAAAGTCTCCCAAGAAAACCTTAAATAAGTTGAAGAAGAAAACAGAAAAATCCCAGGAACCTGAGGATTTTCTTGTCCACCTACTTTCAACTGAGTTGGATATTGAAGACAAAAAAAACCTCACATTCGACACGCCCCGAGGCGTATATATGCCTCCAGTGACTCCAGTCACCAACGAGATGCTGAGGATGTTGAAGCTCAGCTTACAAAGGCAGGCTACGATGAGCTTGCCATAGAGCTATACTGGTGTTACTTTTGGTATAGGTTACAACCGAAGGGCCAAGAAAGCTGGATCAAGGAACTGATCGAAACTGATATCGAGGGACGTTGGGTTGCTCAACAAAAGGTCTACATTCAGCGAAAAGTCAAAACCTTGCAAGACTCATCGGGGCTACTTCTATCTTCTGAAGATGAAGCGAAACACACGTCACAACTCAAGATTTGCAAAGAACGGCTCAAAGACCTTAGTAAAAAGCATTGAGATCTTTCCAGAAAGAAGTGGAACAAAAGGGCTTGCATAAGTTGCTGGTAGTTCGAGCGAGCATATCATATACAAAGATCATATCTAGACTGGTATCTCTCTTCAGTGCTGTGCGGAGATTGCACAGGACGAGGCGGCTGCTGCGGACGGGGTTACGGCTGCTGTGAAAGCTCGCGGACGATCGATGGATTCGAAGATAATATCGAGACACGAGGCCATTGTACTACAGCCTGTGTTTGCTGCCTGAAGCCCCATGGGATTGAACATTTAGACGTCGGAACCAATGGAGAAATACCAGACTTGCAAGAGCTTTTTCTTTGAGTACAAACGGCCCTCTTTGATGAGTGAACGCAGCGTACAGCTACTGAGGGGGTTATGCCTTCAGTATCTGAAACCCGGGACTGAAGTAATCATAGAATTACAACATCAGCTATAACATCCGCAAAATTACGGGCTAAGCCTTCAACTGGTTTTGCTTATGGAAATATTGCTTGGTCAACTCGAGTCATGTGAACGGGTTCTGAATGGAGTAACCTTGCTAATCGGCTTTTCAACCAGACTGGCTGCTCGATGCTTGATATGTGGGAGGTTCCCTGGGCATCCATTGCTTTGTTTTCATTTCGCAAAGGTTAGTGTAGCTAGAATAACACAACTGCCCAAGATTAGGTCTACCATGTGTCTTCTTAGTTAAACCCATTCGAAGCAAGACACAGTAAACAAGGATTTCCTAAAATGATTCGTTAACAGGGAAATTCCATTAAACTCGAAGTAAAACCGCAAAAGGACACTTCGGTGCCCTCGTTCCCAAGACAAATGCCAATGCCATAACGCCTATCGTCACATAAAGAAAAGCAATAGAAAACAAGGTAAGACTCTGATCATACAATCAAAGACCACTGTATGCCAAAGACATTCCATGGCCAATGCTTCATCAACATCGGCGCAAATTCGCAAACATGGTGGAAATAAAACACATAGGTAGAGAAAGGAAAAAAGGCATTGGTCTAAAAAGCCTGTTGAATTAAGACTCCCCGTTCTCGTCGACCACTGCGGCACGAAGTTCCCAAACCAAATCGTAACATTCGGCTAGCAGGTTATTGACACTGCCCTGGCCCTCTGGGATATCTGGACCCACGTAGAATTTCCCGTCAACTCGCATGTTGTCAATCGAGTTGAGCTGTTTCGGTCAGCTCTTGTACACGAGCTGTATGGACGTTTACATACCTTCATACTGTATGGGTAAAGTTCGCGCGAATTTGCAACACCTCCAGACTCCTTGACTTCAATCAAGCACCGCCGGAGAGTTTGAAGTTGGTTATAGACTGGGAGTAGAGCTTCAGACACAGGTTCTGACGAAATCAAAAGCGCATAGATGTAGGCATAACTGCGACGAATAAGGTATAGGAGCGTCTGATCTTATGTTAGCCAGATTCACCAAAGAATGCCCGAAAAGGAATCCATACTCGCTGCGCATGCAGGTCTGCCGGCTGACCCTCAGCGTCGACGAAGTTTCCATTAACCCGTGCCTCATCAATTCGGTCGAGCTTTCGCTGGTATACGAAGAGATCGGTCTCGCGCAGCGACCAAGCTTGTGTTACAGACAGACGATCCAGTTGGTTACGGATTTCCAACAATCGACCATATTGATCTTGGAACCGCTCGTCAATTTTGCCCTCTCTGTATATGAATCAGTTAGTGTCCGAGCATCCCGTTGGCAGCCTAGAACATACCGCTCAAGCACAATTTCAGTCCACCGCCAACACCTATGAATCAAAGACTTGACGTCGTCCTGCCCTGCAAGAATATTTCCCTCCTCATCCACAAAGTTGCCGTCCTTTGCTGACTTCTCAATTTTCTTCAGTTGTTCTCGAAGAGCGTTTACTTCCGAAGCCGAGAACTAACAAATCAACCATAAGTTAGTACTAATAGATAGATTATACAATTATTCGATCTCATACCTTTGACCGAGTGTTGACAGCTGATGTCGACCGCAGAATCGAAACTAGTGTCTCGTGTGTCTGCGCCAAGGGAGGAGCCAATATGGCAAGACCCTTCTGTAACTTCGCCAATGACTGTTCACATTGTTCCAGACGGCTTTCCAAGAGTGTGAGAAGAGCAGGTGAGTATGTGTCTCGGCCACGCTCAAGAGTTTCCCGTGTAGACTCGAGTGTCTTGGTGATCGAGTTCAAATCCTTCGAGCTATAGAATCCAGCCTCTTCGAGGTGGTCGAGTAAGCGCTGCAAAACCGTCAGTGTCCAGATCGCAAATTTAACAAAAAGAGCTGAAAGAAATCCTAGGAGTAAATACCTGGATAGTAGTCGCCAAGGAGTATCTGGCAAAATGTTAGTCACGGTCATGATATGGCGGGGTAAAGACATCGTCGCTCACACTGCGGGAGCCTCGTTGTTCTTCCCAACAGTCAAAAACAGCAGGGAAATCAACTGGAAGCAATCATCCAAGACATAATCCACTATCATGAATGTCAGTCACCTCCAAGTTGAGTGCGCGATCTACCGAACTCACGGCGATTGTGTACCAAGCGACGATCTTGCTCTTTGCGAACCGAATTGAGCTTCTCAACTTCTGCGATCACTTCCTCATAAAGTGGTAGGACATCGCGGGACTTTACGTATGAGGACTTGTCCCGTTTGATTAGGAGCAGCGCGTCGCGGGTTCGGAGCAGGCTTTCAAGGATGGGCTGCTCCCGCGGATCCAGCGGGACCGGGATAGCGGGGGACTCCATCGTTAGAGAATGCGATAAGTAGGCGCGTTGGAAAAAGCAGGGTTAAGGACAGGTTGAATAAAAGGAATAAGTTTCTTTGAAGACAAGTACAACTGCTTGTATGTTTCAACCTCACCGGGATGTGATGTCAATATTAATGACTAGATCGATTGATAGGGAGATCCTGCAAGATACGACCAGACCGCACGGGCCCCGCGGCAGTTTACTGGGAGATTATGTCATCTCGGTCATTATGTCATCTGTGTCTAGCTCCGTTTGGGGCTTAGCGCCCAGTCACGAGGAGGGGAAGGGGCTAATCCCGATTAGTCCAAGCCCTAAGCGAGGGCTTTTTCCCACACACGGCGCGTTTGCCCTGTTCGGGTTGTCTATCATTGGCGTTCTCCTCTCTTCTTCTTTCCCATCCCCAACTCTCTTCAAGACACCCAGTCCGGTCAACACCACCCGTCGACATGTCTACCGCCGAGCTCGCCTGCTCCTACGCCGCCCTCATCCTGGCCGATGACGGTATTGAGGTCTCCGTACGTATCCAAAATTCCTTGATTTTGGTGGGATAGTGGAGGCTTGAAGATCGCACTTGAAGCTTTATTTACTGTGTGAAATTGAGCTTCGGGAGGAACACAACCAGCCGCTTCAAAAGCCACTGGAACCAAACAACGATCATGCGAAAACTGTGATTGACCTTTAATCTTCATTTAGGCCGACAAGATCCAGACCCTCATCTCTGCCGCCAAGGTTCAGGAGGTTGAGCCCATCTGGGCTTCCATCTTCGCCCGGGTAAATACCTGATTCCATTCCACAACCCGCGCCAATATCGAGACCACCCGAACATGGCCGCGCGACAATTTTAAGATTCGATAACTAATTCGATTTTCAACACAGGCCCTCGAGGGTAAGGACATCAAGGAGCTCCTGACCAACGTCGGTTCCGCTGGCCCCGCTGCCGCTGCCCCTGCTGGTGGTGCCGCTGCTGCCGCCCCCGCTGAGGCCAAGGCTGAGGAGAAGGAGGAGGGTAAGTTTTGATATGCATCTCTGGTTTGTGAGTACACAGTACTAATCCCCACTACAGAGAAGGAGGAGTCCGATGAGGACATGGGCTTCGGTCTCTTCGACTAAGCGTCTTATCTCCGTATCGAATTTGAAAACTCGTTTCCTTTTTTCTCTATTCCTCAACCTCTTTTCCCACTGCCGCATAGCGGCTCCCTCGACGATTCTCTATTGTACTCGATACTCCACGACCCCAGCTACGACCTAGAACCCGGGGAAGAAAAAAAGAAAATTAGCAAAAGAATTCAAACGGACACGGACATTCAATGGAGACTGGGTGCTCGGTGTGCCTCCGCGTCATAATGTGGCCGAGGTAGACTCGATCGGATACCGCTGCGATTCCGAAACTATTGTTGCTTCCAGGATTTTAGGGGAATTGAAGACGTTTGGCACACTTCTTGGTCTGTCCATATCAAAGTTCTGCTTTGGTCTGGCGAGTAGATGTATGATTCGTTTTCTCGCCCTTCACGTGGATCAGCTAGCTAGCTATAGTTTGCTCGGTCCTCGTGTTACGTCTGTCATGCGACCATGAAACAACAACGAATGCCGTCTGATTCTTATATGGGGTATTTGTTCGTAGGCTATGTGAGTAGTGCTGTAGGGCTGATCGTCGGTGGTGGCTCCATTGATGTTTCGATCTCAAGGCGATCTTACATTGAGCGCACCAGACCCTCAGTAGACTGGAGATCTCGGCGCCTCATCTACGGTGCAAAGTACAACATGGATCGACTTTGGGACAATATGATCTAGGTCTTATAGTTGCATTGATAATATCAAACACCTGGTCATTCCAAGGTTGCGCTATCGCGAGCAAAACACATACTATGTACATTGTGGCACTAACAGCTATACATGTACGTATCAGATTCAGTCACCAATTCATTATCAAAACAAACGCTATGCTATTTCAGAATTTTCCGATTTCCAGCATCCTGACAAATGCATGCAAATCATCCCTCATCCAAAGATTCTTGGGCTTAAAACCGAATTTCAAATTCGACAGTATATAGACAGAGGTCATTACTCGAGATAAAAGAGCAAATGTCAATATTTAGGAGACCGCGGAGATACGAGGGTCTTGAATAGCGTAGATCCGGAATTGGAAGAAGATGACCGCGTCCTCGACCATAGTTCCCAGCGATCCAATCAACCATGGAAGATTGGTGAGGAAATATTCTTTCTCTGTAGAATGGCAAAGAATCTATATCCACACCGTTAGCTTGCTTCCAGTTCATAGTACTACTGGTAGAGCACTCACCCCTGCACCGTAAGTCAAGTTTCCTAGAAGAGAGAGAATAAAGAACAAGAGCGACAATCCTAAGTAAATGTCAGAACCGGCCTCGCATGTGCAACGGAAGTAAAAAATACCTTCGCAAGACTTCTCGCTGTAGTTTTTGTAGATTTGAGGCAATCTTGCACTACAATCAAAGTCAATACCAACTTAACAGCCCTAACGCAAGGAAGTACTCACCCCAGATAGCAAACAGCACTAAAATACCCCAGCACCAGCCCCCCAATAGCCTGCTCAGAGCCATTGTTATTCTCCAACGGTGCCGGCACCCACATCCCCGTCTGCCAAGCTATGGTCCAACCCGTCATACCAATGAGGAAAATCCCAACCACACTAGCAAAATTCTTAACCCACGCCTTACGACCATAATCATTCTCCTCGACAATTTTTGCCAGGGTAGCCTCCACCTCGCTCTCACGCCGGCCGCCAGCGTGATAACGGCGCAGTGAGCCCGACGACCGGCGCCGCGACTGGGAAGATGCGAGAGAGTCACTGAATCGCCGCCCCAGCAATGGGGTAGTCGGGTCCGGGGTCTCTGTGGACGAGCGTCGGCGGTGGGAAGGCTCAGGGCGCAAATTGCGCACTTTATAATACACGCACTGCGCGATCAGCACGCCGTCTGCGATGCAGAAGTATGCCGCGATCGCAACGATCACGGGCACGAGCCCAGATAGTAGACCGCCGGCGAGGTTTGCGACATCGCCGATAAACCAGACAAAGACGAAGAGAAGAGATATGGCTTCTGAGTTGCCATTGCGATAGTTCTCAATTAGTTGAGGTACCTATAACAGTATTGTTAGATATGGATTGTGCCCACTTCTAGATTTCAAGGTGCGGGTCTGGGTTCTCAGACATACCAAAAGAAAAAACCAGCAGGTCATAGAGACTGATCCTAAGAGACCAGATGCAGCCTCACGGGCTGTCAAAGGTATAGGGCCTTCCATACTTTCCTCAAGAAATGTGTGTTGGAGTGAAAGAAAATTGCGCGGGAGATAAGGCGATGACACAATCTACTCGGGGGCGGAGCCAGTCCCACTATAGGCTCTCGAAAGGGTCCAAGCTCAGGTAGAGAATCTGTTGCTAATAATATACTAACTACATGTAGGTATATGTATCTGTGTATGTATTCAAAACGTCGGAGTACAGATAATTCCTTTAAAGGAACATATTAATCGAATCTGTCAGTGCGGGATGTTGCGCATCAGCCAAGCATTGGAAGATTTCCACAGCCAATGATACACTTCATTATGGTCATGCAAGTCTAGATTGCCCTATGTGCTACATATGTACTCCATTCGACCTACTATGATCCATGTGAAAATCCAATCTGCATCAATAATTACCCCTATAGGATATAACTCCCCGTTAAAATTCCCTAAGGGGCTGTGGGAAATATGTACTTTGATTCTATAAACCTTTCCCGAGACAACGATCTACATATATTAACCACCCGGAAAAGTAAAAAGTGTATAGATGGACAATACAATAATTATTTCCTTGATCTGAGATATGTCGACTCTGCCAGAAAGATACTCATCTCCTCTGCGTTGGGCTTTTTAGTCAATTGGAATTCCCAAGATAAACCAGGGCTACGTTATGGATGTTACTTTGTTGTACATAGAATCATCTAATCGGTTTGCATTTTATGCAGACTAATACAGGGTTCATGCTAATCATGAAGCCGAGTTATTCTCCTCGCATAATCGCAAGTTCGTCCTCGAGCATGCTGACCGCAAAATCCCCGAGAGATTCCTTGATGCTACCGTCTAACAATCGTTGACGGGCTGTTTCTGAGATTGCCGCCATGGCCTCCAGATAATTGGTCAAGGGCGCATAGTCCACAACTACTTCGCTCCAGTTGCCTCTGTCGACTCCGTATTGAGTAAGGAAAATACGAAGAGTTTGCAACCCCTCGCGCGTGAGCCACCCTTCAAGGGCTGCCGGATCTCTGAGTGGTGGCCGTGAGTGTGGGATATCGAAATGCTCTGTATCCTCGTCCTCATCCTCAAACCCAATTGGCTCCTCGTCGTCCGATGTGACATTGGGAGGGCGGGCGTCGTGGTTGATCTGGCCAAGGAGATCCTGCAGCCAATTTTCGCCACCTCCAGCAGGAGCTGCATAGATGGGCGTAGGTTCAGATTGTTGTTTATAAGCTTCGGATTCATAGGGGGGAAGAGGGTCGGAGGAGGACAGTCGACCAGCCACAAACTGGGTTGGAAGATGGGTTGTCACTTTAGCTATATCGGACAAGACCACATGACGAGCGATGTCCAAAGTGACCTCTGGCGGTTCATTAGGCTCCTCGCCGGAGATAGAATCTGCGACTTCCATAATGAGAGAAATAGCCTCGGGTGTATTCCAAAGATCCTTTGCGCGAGCAATGTACAGTTCGGTAAGCAGCTCATGAGCGCCTGTGGGAGGCATCTTGCCCCAGATTTGCTTAGGGACATGCTGGACATCAAGTTCCTGTGCTAGCCTGCTGAAAATCCACGGATAGCGCGAGATGGCGAGCTGCAGCTGTCGGCGACATTCTTGGGGCTTGTTTAACCGGAGGTATGCCATTACCAGCGAGCATTGAATATTGGGAAGGTTGGCCCAGTCGCGACTAAAGCGTGTCTGGGTACAGAGCTGCACGAATTGTGCGTATTCTCTACCTCGCAGCGCGAGGTGGTCGATGAGCAGTCTCATGCAGTAAGGATCACTATCATCCAGACTGAGCAAGAGCTTGGCCCATTCATAAGCAGTTCTCCATGTGCCCTTCATTGCTAGGTTGGTGATGTACCTCCACCCAACAAGCCAGAACTCTCGGTTCTCCGCATGAATGAAATCAAGTCTGGCCTCGCCTTCCTTGAGCCGATTGGCAAACGAAGAGTGTACTGAGCGTCCGATATTGAATAGAGCTCTTTCCATCAGGTCGGCAGACACAGCATGATCGCCTTGGTGTTTGGCAATCTCCGACACTTGGAGAAGCGTAGAAATATGGTACGGGTTGTATTGGAGGTGCCCGATGAGTCTCTGTGGGTCCATCGATTCAACACAGAGGTCGAACTGCCGTTGTACATCTTGGTAGGCACTATTGTGTACTAGTCGGTAGAGAGTCTCCCCGGAAGGGAGCTTCTCCACAGTCTCCATGCCTAGCCCTCCGCTTGGAGCACGAGGCCACTCATCTTTGCCCTGCATAAGAATATTGCGTCGCAATGTAACTCCAGCCAGACTTTGACCTCGGCTAGCCGGACTGTACCTTCCCGTCAAGGCTTGGGCAAGGTCGACCATTTGTCGATTGCGATCCCGACGACGGCCCGTTCCGGTATCTGCTGGTTGATCAAAGTTTTCCAGAACAACATTTCCAAACAGTCTGCGCATTTCATTCGTTGCATTGAGGAACTTGGGTTCGATGCCGAGCAATTCGCTCGTTGTCCTCGAGAAAGAGGCCTCGGGAGTGTGTCTGGTAGATAAACCTGTGCCAACTGACGAGTGCCCACCTGTCGATAGATCTTTCAACGCCCGATCAATTTCATCTAGGTCTGCTTCGTTTGATTTTGAAGGCGCGGTATTGGCTGGATCGGAGGTTTTGGCCTTCTTCTTCTTTTTCTTGCTGCTCTTTTTGGGCTTTATCGGGGTTGGTTCAGGTTCTGGTGTGTGCGTGCGAGGTTCGTCCTCGATTTCCTCTTCGCCTTCCTCTTCATCCTCATTTTCAGCGTTCAGCAAATCAAAGGCATTGAACTTCGGTTTGGCGGGGCGCGGGGCTTCGTCTTCGCTTGACTCATCTTGCTGATCGGATTCTCGCTGCTGTTCTTGTTCACGCAGCTTCTGCAGTTTTCGGATCGCTCGTGATGACATCCTACGCACTGAGGCAAAAGCCTTTGAACGTATGTGGAATAAAAGCTGCCTGCGAAAGTGGAATCGAAGAAGAACGCACCGAAACCGCGGGGAATGACGACAGAGCCTAATACAGGCTAGCGGCGTTTTGGAAGCACTAACACGTGATTTTCGTCTTGAGGAGACCTAGCTCCTTGACAAGCAGCTACATACAATCTCAGAGCTGTCATCTGCCTTGAAAAAGGCACAGAAGTTAGTCAGCTATTATATTTCTTGCTGAACTAATGCGTCGGGCGATTGTTCAGGCCTGCCGTACTGCTCGGCGTGCACCAGTATGGAACATTGCCGCTAAACGGCCCTGCCCTTTGACCTTCAACCAGCTGCGAGGTATTCGGCCATATTCTGGTGGCAGACGCTCATCCCATACTCCAGTAGCTCCTCAATCATCTATGCATCGCCGAAACCTCTCCCTCGCCGTTATCTCGACCGTTGTTGCCTCGGGGGCATGGTATACTTATCAAGGTGACACCGTTAAATCCGCAGCAACCCAGATCAGGAGTTTCGCGTCGAGTGCCCTCAACTCCGCCTACGCAGAAGGGCCCGCCGAGTCCACGCGACGTGCATTGTTGGTCAGCGGCGATCAATTCTACACAGCGACGCTCTCCGCAGACCAGCCTCTTGCCAAGCATACGGACGATTCAGATCGCCGAGTCCTAGAGATGTTGACTCCCGAGCAAGCGACCCAGAAGCTTCGCAAGAACGAGGAGTCATATTTGGTCAATCGGGGAAAGGGTGTCGTTCGTTACGATGTTGTTCAGGTTCCCAGCAACTCTCCCATTGAGGACGACCACGCGGAAAAGATAGTGGAGATCCCAGCATCCGTGTCTGCTGTCAGCAATGGTGAACCGAGCAGCGATTGGATGTTCTGGGGAGTCTTTGACGGCCACTCGTGCGTTATTTCAAAGTTGAATACTTATAATGAAAATACTAACTATAAAAACCAGGGGCTGGACCACATCTGCGAAATTGCGCAACGTTTTGATCTCATATGTGGCCCGTGAATTGAACACAACTTACAAGGCTGCTTCTGCTGATCCATCTCTCCTCGTGCCAACATCCGAGGCTATCGATGCCGCCATTAAGAAGGGCTTCGTCCGCCTCGACAATGACATCGTACATGAGAGTTTCAAGGAAGTCATGAAGTCTAAATCACGACGGGTCGCCGCCGAGCTCCTTGCTCCTGCTCTCTCCGGATCATGTGCTCTTCTCAGCTTCTATGACTCCCAAACTAAGGACCTCAAGGTTGCTGTTACCGGAGATTCTCGCGCAGTTCTGGGCCGCCGCAGCCCTAGCGGGAAATGGACCGCTACTGCTCTCTCCGAGGACCAGACCGGTGGCACCCCGTCTGAAATGAAACGTTTGCGTGAGGAGCACCCTGGCGAGCCATATGTCACCAAGAATGGCCGAATCCTCGGCCAGCTTGAACCCAGCCGTGCATTCGGTGACGCCTTCTACAAGTGGAGCCGGGACGTCCAAGATACAATAAAAGCGAAGTTCTTTGGGCGCACTCCTCATCCTATGCTGAAGACGCCCCCTTATGTCACCGCCGAGCCTATCATTACTACTACCAAGATCGATCCCTCCAAGGGCGACTTCGTCGTCATGGCTACCGATGGTCTGTGGGAGATGCTGAGCAATGAGGAAGTTGTCGGCCTGGTTGGTCAGTGGGTTGAGCAACAACAATCTGCTGCCGCAAGCACGGGTAGCAAGGCTTGGTTACAGAGCTGGTTTGGGTTCGATGGTCAGAAGAAACTGCCTGTGGAAACTGCAACCGACGGATCCACCGAAGGCCAACGGCGTCCTATCCGCCAGCAGCAATATGATATCTCCGGCGCGGCTACTCGATTTGTTGTCGAGGATAAGAACGCAGCCACACATCTTGTGCGGAACGCAATGGGTGGAAAGGACAAGGATATGGTGTGTGCGTTGTTGACGCTACCCAGTCCCTACTCTCGCCGATACCGGTAAGGATATCCTTTTCATGACATTTACTTTTAGCGGTCTGGCTAATCTCTCTTAGTGACGATGTTACTGTTGAGGTCATCTTCTTTGGTCAGGGCCCTGATTCCCGCACTGTGGAAGTCAACCAGGAAGCAAGTGCCTCAGAACAGCCTCCTAAGTCGAAGCTTTAGGCGTTATTTTTGTCTTGTGTTTTATTCGTGACATTCCCAAAGCATTTGGAAGGGTGGCAGGCTTTTTTTTGATATGTTTTGCAATCTACTTTCTCCAATGGATTGTCGCTACTGGATCTATGGCAACGCTAAGACAAGATACTAGGAACTAGTTTCTCTAATCTTAAAATTATTGAAATCTCCCTGGTTATAAGTGGAAAAGCACATCTGTATTGTACAGAGCAGAATGGCAAGCCTGGCATCTTTACTCCGTACTATTATTCCCATTCCTAGCTGTACTTCTATAGTTAATCATCATTTTTCTAACTATAACACCGTGGACAAAAAAGTATATGAGAAAGGACGTCGGCTTGTCATCTTATACAACGTCCATATTATCACCTCCAGGGCTGAGCCACCTAGGCACATAAATCAAATTATTAAGTCCTACGTCGTCAAGGAGAGAGGCCGCATACGCGGCCGACTATTTTGGAGAAGTAGAAAATATTGTACATGAGGGCTGGCGGGCAAGGAAAATGATGCTACACAATGGATCTCGAAACCAGTCGACCAACTATGTGCGTCCTGGATTGTCATTTCGCAGGGGGGTTGGGCCAAAATATGAAAATCGACGCGCAAGCCCAGAGGGTATCCTGACTGAACCTATCCGAGCCGGCTCATAAGGTCCGTACCAGTCGCGCAGAGGCCATGGGTTGAATCAGGTCTAACATGAGCTTCCTGTCACGTTCGGTGTGAATGTGGTCTCCATCTTGATAGAGCTCTGAAATTCACTTGGAGCCAGCATGTGAATAGTTCGCAACTCTGCAATGGAGTATGGCTGAACAAACCGCCATCGATTCATGCATGTCATTCTAAATGATACCATTCCCGCGGATGGAATCAGCGCAAGTTTTTCAACTGGAATGGGTCCTCATCGCCCGGCTTCTCGAAAGCGATGGACTTCTGGATGAAGCGGTTGAATGTCGCCGGCGAAAACACCTTATTGTCCAGTATCCAAGTCTGCAGCGTAGCAACGTTGGTACTGGTGATCCAGTAGAGCATAAGCGCAGTTGGCATCTCTTGAACGAAGCTTGCGAAGCCAATGTAACATGTCAAAACTATGACAAAGGACCGCAAACCGGTGAAAAGGATCTGCTTGTACATCTCGTTCTTTGGAAGGAGTGCGAGGTGCTTCCAAGGCTGGACTTTCCATCCCATCAGAACGTTCCCCAAGATCGACGCAGTTAGACAAAATGGCAGCACGCCTGTCGGGTCTCCGGCCAGCAAATCCGGGAACCAGAGGGCACCCTCGTTCGCAAGGGTGGGCTCGATGGTTAAATGCAGAGGTTGGGCTGTGGAGGCAGGGTCTTGCGACTCAATGAACGACGACAGCCAGGCAATGATGCCGCTATTGTTGCCGCTCATCCCGCGCAGACTCTCCATGAGCGCAATGAAAACAGGTATCTGCAGGAAGCTGACTGCTTTATACTTGCTGGATACTCCCCAGCGCTTATTAAGCTCAGCTGTTCGGTTTCTCATATCAAGGAGAGCTCTTCTCTGTAATTCAGCAAGACTTAAATTCTTGAGGCTCGCACCGTCGAGCTGTTCCTTCTGCTTCTCTGCAGATCTCTTCAGCCAAGCGCTTAGAATGGGCGCTATTTTCTTTTCGCGATGGCGATGGAGTCGAGTATATAACAGGATAGGCAACCCGACAAATGTACGAATAAGTATAGCAGTTAGAGGAATTGAGGCAACCCATGGGAGACACGAAACAGTGTGGACGCCGTGAATAAATGCGGTGGAGCTGTCCAGTGCAAGGTCCACGACGGAGAATGAGGCTCGTCTTGCTGGGTGGAAGTATCGAACTTGCGAGCGAGGCAATTGTATGGCCCGCCGCATTAATTGCACAGCCTGTGACGAGCGGAGGGCATACATCACTGGTAGCCGTATGAGAGGCAAGACAAAAAAATAAAAGATGGCTAGGGAAAGTGAGGCTATAGGAATCGCGGAACGGAAATCGGATATTTGGAGATCATCATGTGACACGTATGAAGTTACTTCATTGGCCCAACTGATCAACGTGTTGACAGCAAGAGAGGGGAACATTTTCTGACTTGTCTCCAATTTGACTTCAAATTCTCTTAATATGTGTGATTTCTGATGAGGTCTCTTTAAATATTGCCTTTTCACCATGGCCCTCTTATCAAACGCCATTCTGGCCATTCTGCTCCTCACCGCCACGGCTGTCCTGCTTCCGAAGCTAACAGGCGTCCTCCTCGGTCTAGTGTTTCGGGGAGTGGGCTGGCTGATCTGGCGACGAACGCGGTCTCGCCGTGCATATGTGATCGCGCGGGCGCGATCTGAAGAGGAGGAGTTACGCGCCTCACGGCCAAAGGGTTCAACAAGTTCACTATCGCGAAACGGTGCCGAAGACGAGGACTGGGAGAAGGTGGATAATTCGGGCCCAGGTGGGGTACAGAGTACAACTGGTAGTGGAGGCAGTGACGGTGCTGGCGAGGAAAGTAGCCAGAGTCCAGAGGAATGGAATGGGATTATTGGGTTCTTCCACCCATTCTGGTATGGCATTCTCTACACATTCGAAGCGAACTATCCTGACTAGGTACTACAGCAATGCCGGCGGAGGTGGCGAACGAGTCTTATGGGAAGCAATACGCGCAACACAGAAGCGCTGGCCGAAGGCAATCTGCGCTATCTACACGGGTGACCATGAAGTCAATAAAGCCACGATGCTGGAGAAGGTGGAGAACCGGTTCAACATTCACCTACATGCGCCTACCGTGGTGCTCTTATACTTGACGACCCGCAAGTATGTTGTTAGTAGCTCATACCCTTACATGACACTGCTAGGACAGTCACTGGGTTCACTGGTTGTTGCCTACGATGCTTTTACGCTGCTTGTACCGGATGTTTTTGTTGATACCATGGGCTATGCCTTCACACTTGCTCTGTGCAAATGGTTTTTCCCGACAGTTCCTGTTGGCGCCTATGTTCATTACCCGACTATATCAACTGACATGCTCGCCTCTCTTGATGACAAGAGCGGGGTGCAAGGGATTAATTCCGGCGCAGGGAAAGGGTGGAAAGGGAAAATCAAGCGTCGGTACTGGGAGATATTTGCCAAGTTGTATGGCTGGGTCGGCCGACAGGTCGATGTAGTCATGTGCAACTCGTCCTGGACGGCAGCACACATTCGCACGCTTTGGGGCACCGGCAAGAAAAGCAACAACAGCAGCGGCGACGGTACTGCATCATCGCCGGCGGTTGTGTTCCCCCCAACAGCAGTCACCGAACTGCAATCGAATATTGCCGTTGACGCGGACAGCGAGAAGACTCGTCAGCCCATTCTACTTTACATCGCACAATTCCGGCCAGAGAAGAACCACCCGCTAGTATTGCGCTCCTTTGCACGATTCTTACAAGAACGAACAAACAACCCAGCCTACGAAGGTCAACCCCCTCCGCGTCTTGTGCTTATTGGATCCGTGCGCCATTCCAGCCCTGATGAAACCCACATCTACAACCTGCGCCTGCTGGCGCATGAACTCCGCATCCGCGACTATACTACATTCTTGTGCGACGCTAGCTGGCCTGTCATGCTGTCACATCTCCGCACCGCCTCGGTTGGCGTCAATGCCATGTGGAACGAGCACTTCGGTATTTGCGTCGTGGAGTACCAAGCCGCTGGTCTCATCTGCGTCACACATGACTCAGGCGGTCCACGTGAAGACATTGTCGTTGATTTGGGGGACGGTGCAACTGGATTCCGAGCTGAAACAGAGGAGCAGTTTGCTGCTTCTTTCGAGGCTGCCATTGCTCTTCCGGAGGCAGAGAAACTCGCGATGCGACAGCGGGCTCGTCGTTCAGCTCAACGGTTTACCGAAGAGGAATTCTCCCGCAAGTGGCTGGATCAAGTACAAAAGCTTGTAAAGGCGTCGAAGGTTTAGCTTTGTGATATCCCACCAGAAATAGACGAATGGCATTTCTATTTAGTTTAGTACTTCGCTGAGAAAAGAAGTCACTTCCATGGTAACAATACTTAAAGACTGTACTTAATTCGTAATAATCGTGAAATAGAAATAGGCGATGTGGCCAAGTCTACGACTCGTGCATAAAAACAGACATCTCCACTAGAGCACCTCAAGCCTTCTAACCAGAAACAGAGAATGCCTGCAATGCAACGGACGACAATGCGAACACCCTGAACTTCCCCCTTTAGTCGCTATCACTAGGCTCTCCACCGTCCGAGTCAACTCCATCACCAGTACGTTGGATACCTTCGGCCATGATATACTCGGTTTGCTGGAGGGTCTTCTTAATCTCATTATTGTTGAAGACCAGCTCAGCGGGCTTCTGACCATGCTTATTCCGCACTCGAGGATCACAGCCAGCCTCACACATCATCTTGACCATGGCCTCGCCCAGTTCTGCATCTTTATCATTGGCATACCGCACTGCGATGTGCAACGGTGTGTCCTTATCCAGCCGGGTCAACGGGTCGCATTCGAAGAATTGGATGTCAAACAGTGCGTCCATAGTATCATCTAACCAAAACAAGGGGAAATAGTTAGCTCGCATGAGAAATGGGCATTAACGAAGTGGCAAAGTAAACACGTACAGCTTCCATACTGGGCACAGATGTGCAATGCATGGTTTCCCATAGAGTCTGTCACCTCGTTGAAAAATTGTGCCACTTGCTCATTTGTCTTGTCTTCCATTTCGTTCAGCACTTGCTCAATTAGGTGGGGTCCGTCCCGGCGGCAGGCCTCCACGACCAGCTCGCGGGGTGATGCGCCCTAAATCGTAGCAGCATTAGCGTTGATAGTTAGCAAAGGTCTGGTAAGCAGTATTCACCTCATCAGCCATTTCTGTATATGGGTTCACAGAGTCCGGAATACCCGAGAGTGAAGTCGGTTGTAAAGGAATTATTGCTCAGCTGTAATGGGACTCTTGGAGCTAGTTGTAACAAGAGTCAGGCGTTTTGTATGGGGTATCGTGCTGATCAGAATAGGTCTTCCACAGGGAAACGAAGTAGGATATGTATGTACAAGCTGGGATGCCGGCTAAACAGGCATTCAAGTTCCTGGCAAATACTACTGGCTGTCGGAGTTGTTCCCCAGGGACATCCCACACGCGGGCCGCCCGGATATATAATCTTCCGGATGCCGTCTTGATTTAGCCGCGCGCCTATATCTCTTATCATCGACGATGATGTTCTGCACCTGACGGAGACTACATTGCACAGCTGCTGAGAACCTAACTTCCTACCGCTATAGCTGTCTGGCATTTTCTTAGTCTTATTCACTGCATCCTCCTGCCAAATCATCGAGATGCTAGTCTGTATGTGCTATCTCCATTGACGCTGTCCAGCGAAAGCCCAGACCAAAAACTAACTCCTCTCTCTCTAGTCTGCCCCAATTGCAGCAATGCGCTCACCATTTCCAAAGCGGAGTCGAGCACAAGATTCCCCGCAGGTGTGAACCGCTTTGAATGCCGCGTCTGCCCCTACGAAGCCCCGTTGGACAAGAACTATTTCGAGAAGAAAGATATGAAACAAAAGGAAGTCGACGACGTATTTGGTGGCAAGGAAGAGTTCGCCAATGCTGACAGTGTTGCCAGTAAGTCTTTTCTGCTATCTTCTCTCCGAAGTGACATGTCTGTCGAGATATCCAGTGCTGACATACCTCTTTTTCCTTACAGCTCAATGCCCCGCTGAAAACTGCAATGGGGAACGTGCGTACTTCTTCCAGCTGCAGATTCGCAGTGCAGATGAACCGATGACTACATTCTTGAAGGTATGTCCCCCTCCTTACATCTAATGTGAGGTACCCGTGTCTGACAGCTCCCAGTGTACCTCGTGCGGTGCTCGGTGGAGAGAAAATTAGAGTTGGGCGACAAGGCTGGGAACAAGTCGCTTGCATTGCTTTTTGTTTCTTTTTGTTTTACTTTTGAGTTTTACTACAGCGAGGTGCAAATGGCGTACCAAATGTTTACAACATAAGAGAGGCGTGTGTAACTAAACCTGATACCCAATTGATCGACGTCACACTACAGCGCACAGATTATTTTGTGATCAGCGGAAACTTTTCGAGTGGGACATGGATCTAGCTTTTTATGCAATTTTATTTTATATCATGTTATTTTGTGGCTTTGACTTTGTACTTTTTTCTCACTATAAATACAATTGGCCTAGTACGAACGTAGAGCCCGACGTTGGTTTCTGCCTGGGCTAAGAAGATTTTGATAATCGGAGTCCAAAAAGAAAGAAATTTTTTTGCATGACATTGTTGGTGGGATAGGTTGGCGGTGAGAGTTGCCCCTCACCCGCG